TTGAACATATGGCCGTTATTGGGTCTCACTCGTCTAATAAAAGTCAACAATAACGGCTATATTTTCAATTTTAATCCGATTTTAATCCCTCCCATACAAGGCCTAAATATCCATTTTAAGTGCAAAGTTCATTATTTTATATCGGAGTAGTTATAATTTCATTAAAAGTTGCATTAATATGATGCAACATTAATTACAATATAATATAATATATATTGTTCTAATATAATTATACATGTAGACGAGCTTCGATTTTAAATGATTAACCAGTTAGAAATTTATGAAACTTTAAATCTTAAAAACGTGAAGATCTAATTATTTCATTCCTAAGATCTTCCACGTCAAGTCATCAAGAGAATTATTAAATACGGAACATACCTTAATTTATCGGGAATGATTTTTGAATCTTAATTATTGGCTCTTTTGATCATTGAGTTCTTGTTCTTGATTTCGGCTTATTGCTCCATAATTCTTTATTGTCTCAATTCATTATTCTTGATTGTAGATTGTAGGTTGCCCGTTCTTGATTGTGGATTTTTTATCTTTCTCTTCGATATGTTTTCTCTTATATTCTTGTATTGATAAGATGACACAAATGATGAGAAATTATATATAAATTGTGGACCATAACCCTATTTATATTTTCATGTGTATTCGGCACATTGTCGAATACAATCCTAATGGATTCGATATCTACACATATAATCTGGTTCAAACTTTATTTAGATGTCCAAAATTCAATTACTTAATTTTTTATTATATCACTTTAATTCTGGACTTAATTTTAAGATAATATTTATACACAATTAATTACATATGTCAGTCCACGTGACAAATTAAATATTTCCCAACATAAACTTAATTTGATTAATATCAAATTCTGAGTACTCCACTTTGGTGCATTTTTGTGTCTTTACTTAAAATATTATCTATTCCAATAATTTGTATAAGTGTGGATATTTTTATATGGTTTATATATTCGTAGATTATGCGAACTACAAATAAAAAGAAAAAAAAGTCGTGGGATGCTAAGAAAAAAATATTGTATATAAAGAAGTATTGTTATAATCAAAACATTAAATTTCAGTTTATTCATCATTTTCACATTATATAAGTAATTCCATAAAAAAATTTATATATATATAGTAATTTTATTTTTCCTTTAATAATATCAATTATCTCAGTTACTTTTAAAAAAAATAGTATTAATACTTAAAAAAATTATATATATCATTCATTTGATATATAAGACGTGCAAAACATGTACTATTAGTAAAATGGAAAAAAGACGGATAAGCCACTCTCCATTTTTACAACTTTTTGGAGAGAGAAACTTTTAATTTAGGTTTTCAAATCCCAATTATTCAAATTAACCAATTTCATAAACATGTTTTTTAATTTAATTTAAATTACATCATTTCTCAAAATCAAAAAAATAAGTAGAGTTTGTTTGGGAGGGATTAAAATCAGATTAAAATTGAAAATATAACCGTTAAAGTTGACTTTTGTTACACGAGTGGAACCCAATAACGACTATATTTTCAATTTTAGAGTGTGTTTGGGAGAAATTTTTGTGGGATTTTAATCAAAATTATAGCCGTTAAAGTCAACCCCTGGGCTCCACCTGTGAGAGGGAAGG